GGTGTTGGACTAGGTGCCAGCGTGACAGCAGCCCTCGGGAGCACAGAGTGGACAGAGGGCAGTGACTTCCTGTGCAGGAGGAGCCCTTCTTTCGGACGACAATGAGCTTCTTATTTTCCTGGAAGCACATCCCCCCCACCCCACCCCAGATTCAGGGAGAAGGCCCCCACCCTGCCAGCAGTGCCTTCTCAGGGCCACTCAGCTCAGTAGCCCCAGGAGAACTCGATTTAGGTGGGGTCTGCTGCCCTCAAAGCTGCACTTTTGCTGTTTGGAGATGAGAGATGATGGAGGCAGGCCCGACATTGGCTCATCTCTTTTACTGGTGGCATAGTGGTTACGTGTTGGGCTGCTAACCGCAAAGTCAGCAGTTTGAAACCAGCAGCTGCTCCGTGGGAGAAGACGAGGCTTTGTACTCCCGTGAAGATTTATAGTCTTGGACACCCGCAAGGGCAGTTGCCTCCTGTCCTCTAGCGTCGCTGTGAGTCAGCGTCCACGCGATGGCAGTGATTTGGACTTGGTTTGGCGGCACCATTGGACTGCTAACCACAGAGTTGGCTGCTCCCAGTAGCTCTTCAGCAGCACGACGAGGCTCTCTGTGCCCCTAAGATGACTTATCACCTTAGAAACAACATGTAGGGTTGCTATGAGTCAGAATTGACTTGATGAGAGTGGGTTTGCTTTTGGTATGGTATATGTGTGTCTATGTATACACATGTATAGATATACATACATACATATATGAATGAAGGAGGCTTTAAGAATTTGTGGAAACATTCGATTATCTTTTTGATTCCATTTTCCCACAAACTTTTTGAGACGCCCCTCCCCCCGAATATATGTGTATACACACACATCAAATAAAACCCGCTATGATGGGGTCCATTCAGACTGAGACTCAGACACACGAGAGCCCTGTAAGACAGCTTGGAACTGCTCCCTGGGTCTCTGCGGCTGTGAGTCTTGAGAACAGACTGCCTCGGCGGCGTCCTGTTGGGGCGGCTCAGGGTTCAAACCACCAATGTTCAGTGCACAGCCCATCACTGAGCATGTAGCCCATCCATGCCTTTAGAGAAGGAAGCAGAGATGAGGTGAGAGAAAGCATACAGGGCTCACCCTGAGGATGGGAGACCGTGGTTTGCTTTGGAACCGTTGACCCAAGGAGCAAGAAGATGAGCCAGAAGCCCTGAGTGCTTAGAGGAGCCAGGCCAGTGTGGGAAGGAGCGTGGGAGGCTTGAGCGTGGGCTCTCTTGTGGCACAACTCTGAGGGCCTGTCCACACAGCAGGTTCTGAGAGCACAGAGTCGTGCCGTGTGAGAGGACTCCCAAGGCTCTTCAGGGCTGGGGTCCCTCTCGGGGATGGCAGGGGGTGATGACGGCACTCTTGTGGCCCCCCCCCTTCTCGGCAGTGCGCTGATGATCCTGACGCTGTGTGCACCCGCTCAGTCGCCATCCGGCTGCCCCTTCTGCACAACACCCTTGTGAAGCTGAAGCATGGCGGCGGCGTGGCCATGGACGGCCAGGACATCCAGCTGCCCTTCCTGAGAGGTGGGCCCCTGCCCCTCCATCAACTCACACGCAGGGCCCTTCCCCTTTGGGCAGCCGAGGACGGCTGGCCTGCCCCGCTTCTGTGTGAACAGCTGTAGCGTGGCTGATGAGGGGAGGGTGCGTGTCCTTGGTCGACATCCCTCTAGGACTGAAGGTGTCCTGGAAGAAGGGGGCGGGTGGATGAAGAAGGTAATGCTTGGAGATGCGGCCTGGGGAGAGGCTAAAGGGGAGAAGGGAGGACAGAGGGTTTTCAGTGGACTTGCATCAAAGGCGTGAGTGGAGGGTTGGGCAGGGTGGTTCCACTTTGCGGCAGAAGAGGAGCAGTGACTGATGCCCAGAGGTCAGGGGGTGACCGACCGATGATAGACCGGACACTCAGGGCAGAGCATACAACCCCCATCCCCACGACCTGTGGAGACCTGTCCAGCAGTGACTGGCACACACAACCACTTTTGCCCACTCAGTTCCAACCTTCACCTCCGAGGCGACTTAGATGCCTCCCATGTGCTCCATGACGACTCTCCACCTGGTCCAGCCACTCCACAGGCAGCTCTCATAGCATGCACACACTGACCACGCAGCAGGGCTATGTGCGTGCGTGTGCGTGTGCATGTGCTTGGCTTCCCATGAGATGACACCCTCCTCCAGGTCCGGGCCATGCTGCCCTGAGGACGAAGCCGGCCCAAGTGGTGCGCTGTGGCAGAGGGGCCCAGGCCTGCTGGTCATCAGTCCTTCCTGTTAGATGGTGTCCTGGAGGGATCTGTCAGGAAGGATACAGGGATCTCTGCTTCCATCTTGTGGCAGAAGGAGGAATAGCATGCTATAGCACCCGTGCGTGCGGGTGGTAGTTGGGGGGGTCTTGTTTACATAAATGCACCCCAGTCACTCTGGCCACCCTTCCTCCTCCTCTTGTTGTTGTTGTTAGGTGCGGGCAGGTCAATCAGTCCTGACGCACAGTGACCCTCGGTGCCTTCCTCACTACTGTTCTTATATGTGTACCCATGGCTGCAGCCACTGTGTCAGTCCGTCTCGTCCAAGGTCCTCCTGTTTTCCGCTGCCCCTCTGCTTTCCCAAGCATGGTGTCCTTCCTCCTGAGACAGTCTTAAGCCGCATAGGCACCCTGTTGTCACCCTAACTTGTTGCTGTTCTTCGCTAGCATCCTTAATGGGGTACCCTCCCCACTGCCTATCTGTTGGCCGCCACCTTGCCCGGGCACGGCCATAGCCCATCCTGTGCCTGCTTGGTTCCAGGCGACCTCCGCATCCAGCCCTCGGTGATGGCATCGGTGCGCCTCAGCTATGGAGAGGACCTGCAGCTGGACTGGGACGGCCGCGGGAGGCTGCTGGTGAAGGTGGGTCCCTCTCGAATGGAGGCCCAGCCTCCCTTGACCTGACAGAGTCCCCTTGTCCTTGGGCAGAATGGCTTTGTGTCGTGGAGAAGAATTCATTTCTTCTCCCCCAGCCCTTCACCCCCACAGCCAGGAACAGGCCTCTCTTGTGTGTGTGTGAGAAGCTGGCTGTTTGTTCTTCGGACGCACCTCCTACGCCCAGGGGATCCCAAAGGTCTCCAGACAGGGACACGCTATTGTGGGGAAGGGCAGGGAGGGAAGTGGCAACCCTTTTGGACCAATGTCCTGGATTTCATAGCACCTGGAAGCAGGGCGTGGTATCTGGGGTGCCCACCCTGGGAAGAGCTCAGTTGAAACTCACCCAATCTCCCAGTGCTGCGCACCACTTGGGGAACACCTTCCTGCTGCCTGTGAGAGGGCCGGTGGGGGCGGGGGGCGGGGGCCCCGGTATTTCTGACAAGAGTCTGGGCCTCTGCCATTCCCAGGCCATCTGTAGTCCTCAGAGAACCACAGCTGGACGTCGTTGCTGTTGGAGCTGGTGCTAACTCACAGTGTCAGAGTAGAGCTGTGCTTCACAGGGTTTCCAAGAGCTGAGTGTCTGTCTCTGTCTGTCTGTCTGTCTGTCTATCTATCTATCTATCTATCTATCTATCTATCTATCTATCATCTATCTTATCCATCCATCCATCCATCCATCCATCCATCCATCCATCCATCCATCCATCCATCCATCTTAGGTGTTTGTGTTTATTTTATTTAATCCGTGAAATGATTTGAGTTCCTTTCATGTAACTGTTGAATGAGCAAAATTACAGGCCCACCTGACCAACATGATTCAAGTTCTTCCTCAGATAGCAAAGGCCTTGAATGTGAGTGGTTGTGCAAGACACACTTCTCCAAGACTGTCAGCAGCACATACTGCCTGATGGCCGAGCTTTTACACTACCAGGCCTTTCTTCCCTGGAGCCCCTGGGTGGACTTGAACTACTGACTTTTGGGTTAGCAGCTGAGTATATTAACTGTTTGGAGAGTAGTCCATACCTTTCACAGGGTTCTAAAATGCATATCCCTACCTCCCACCCCCGGGGTTCCCTGCTAAGTGGGTGCTGTAGGTGCTCTCGGTGCCATTTTATAAATACCACGACCGAAGCTCGGGGAAGGTGGGGACTTGTCCAGTTGTGCACACTTGGTGGCGGCCGAAAGAGGGAGGGTAGGCTTTGGCCGGCGTCACTCCCACCCACCCAGTGCTTCTCACTTTTTGCTCTCCTCTAAAACTCAAGATCTTTTGTCTATAGAAGTTGTAGCTGTCAGTATTTAAATGATAGCTATCCTCTTTACTGTTTTAGAATGCAAATCAGAGCTACTTACAAAGAACAAGAAGAAACCCATCCCATGTTTTAGGAAAATAACTCTATTTTCCAAGACAAACGCTCGTCTTGAGAGGACTGGCATTGTGGCACATTTCTGCCTGACTTCACAGAAGGCAGCTGGGTTTCACATCTGCAGTATTCTGTGTCATGGAGCTTCTGGGAAAACCTCTGTGCACTTGGAAATGAGACCAGACAAGGACACCTGCATCTTTGTAACTTGTGAAGAGTTATTTTCCATACGTTAGACTGAACAACAAAAACAAGCGCACTCCCACCGAGGTGATGCCAACTCATAGCCACCTCGCAGGACAAGATAGAACTGCCCCCTGTGGGTTTCCAGAAAAGAATGTAAGCTCCTTCTTTCTCTTGCAGAGCAACTGGTGGTTTCAAACTGCTGGCTTTGCAGCTTGCAGCCCAGCATGTAACCACTATGCCACCAGGGCTTCTTGTGAAAAGACCAAAGAATTAAGAAGTAGGATAATAGTGTTGACTCGGTGGAACCCAGGGGTTCCAAGACGATAGTTGGAGGCGCACTGCCACAGACCTTGCCCAGGATCTCTGCAAAGCGCTCTGCACCTCCTGGGGCCCCGTGGCCAGGGACTCTCAGACCATCTTTTGCTGGGTGCCCGGTGGTCCCCAGTAACTTCCTGGTCTCCCGATATTTTCCCTGGTCTCCAAGAAAGTGCCAAACGAACTACTAAGTTAACCTTGTAACCCATCCTTAATGGCTTGAAATAAAGATCCATCTTTTGGGAAGCAGGTCTCACTTGACCAGAACTCACCCCCCGCTTCCTTGCACCCTGGTCTGTGAGGGAGGGGTCCTCCTCCAGTAGCCATTCCACTGGAGATCTCAGCAACCCCAGGCCACAGAGAGGCGCCTGATCCCCACTCTCCCCTTACGGGCATCAGCTGCCCTCCTTTTTCTCAGGGAGATCCCCCTTCCCTCTGTGGGGAGGGGTGCAGGGTGATCTGTGGGGAGGGGTTTGGGTCAGCTCAGTGATCAGGAGGAGGATTTCACTCGTCAAGACTCAGGCCTGTGGGGTCTCCTGTGGGGTTTGTTATGGAGGAGAGAAAGAGCTTTGTGGATGGAGAGGGGGCACCAGAAGTCTGACCCCAGTAATTTGAGGGCACCGCTGAGGGGAGGAACGAGCCCTCATGGCTCACTGGCTACACGCTCGGCTACAAACCCAAACGTTGGTGGTTCAAACCCAGCAGCTGCAGGAAAGAGAGATGGCAGTCTGCTTCTGTAAAGCTTTACAGCCTTAAAACCCCCGTAGGGGCCGTTCTGCTATGTCCTCCAGCATCACTGTACGCCTGAATCCACCTGGAGGCTGTGGTTTGGGCTGGGGAGGAGACACTTGGGAGAAGAGCAGGAGGTGTACCTCCATCCTGCCAAGCAGTGGTGGGGATGAGGTGCTGCTGGGAGCCCTCTGGTCTCCTTCCCTCCCAGGCATGCCTGTGAACCCCATCCCTGTGGCTGGCTGGGCTGGGCGGCACAGCAGTGGGATGTGGAACTTAAGTTTCTTACATGCTGCCGCCTGGCTTGGTCACTGGCTGCAGTGAAGGCCTGGTCCCCTGCGAGGCCAAGCGCTGTAGCAGAGGCCCCAGGAAGCAACTCACTTTGTCAGAACCATCACCCATCACTGATGAGAGCTTAACTGCAAGTAGCTAGCATGGTGCTTACCATGCAGGTCTCTAGGCCATAGAGGGTTCTCGGCCAGCCCTAGCCTAGTGTAAGTGATGCACTCCCTGTGCTGACCCCCGGCTGAGGTCACCACTCTGGTGAGCCACGAGGGCGGGGAAGGCCTGGTTTTAGCAAGTGGGGGCTGGCAGTGGTGGCAGGCCTGGTGGGGGTGGGTAAAAGGGGATGCTGGAGGTGGAGGGTACCAGGTACCTGAGGAGGAGGGGAGAGAAGATGCTGGGCCACAGGGGTGAGGGTGAAGAGAATGTGACTTGGCCGTGGGCACTGCATTTCAGCCCCAGGCTTCATGGGTGCATTTGCTCACTCATCTGACCAGTTCTGACTGAGTGTCCACAGGCTGCAAACGAACACACACACACACACACACACACACACACACACACACACACACGCATCACTGGTGGGTCTCCCTTAAAGTCTGATGAGGAGAGACAGGGGACAAGCAAAGTCGATGAGTCAGTTAGGTTATGGGTCACACCAGTTGCCGGGGAGCCAATGCTGACTCATGGCAATCCCATCAGGCCAGAGCAGAACTGTGCCCCGTAGAGCTTTCGATTTTCATTGGCTCATTTTCCAGAAGTAGATTGCCAGGCTGTGTGTGTGTGTGTGTGTGTGTGTTTATGTGTGTATGCTCCTTATGTGCTTTATGATATACATGAATGTAGGAGGGGCTTCAAAAAGTTCATGGAAAAATTCCATTATCTATAAATTCCATCTTCCTATGAACTTTCTAAAGTCCTTTTATAGATGTAGCACATTCAAACATGTATATATTTGCATGTACAGATACACCCATATATGTATGCATCACATATACTTTCTTATATACAAGTGACATACACATCAACTTATATAACCACACATGTAGTTTCTGGTTGCTATCACTCTTACTAGGACTCCCAGTGCAATACTGAAGGCCCGTCCTTTCTTTGGAAGCACCCATGGGTGGACTCAGGTAGCAGCCTCTCAGTCTGTAGTAGAGCACACGAGCCATTTGTCCCACCCGGGATCTCTAGGCTAGCCTGCACCCAGTGCCATCAAGACCATCCCAGTCCACAGCGGTCCTCTATGGGGTTTCTGCGGCTGCAGATCTTCACAAGAGCAGATAGCCCCATCTTTCCCCAAAGAGCACCTGGTGGGTTTGAACCTTGGACCTTGAGATTAGCAGCCTAATGCCTTATCCACAGCACCGCCAGGGCTCCTTCATTCGAGGTTAGACATTCTAGGGAAATGAACAAAGCAGGGAAGGGGCCATTCCATTCTGCCCTGCAGGGTTTCCATGAGTTGGAATAGACTTCATGGGAGTGAGTTTTTTTTTTTTAACCTTCTTCAGGCACCTTTTTTTTTTTTCCTGCCAAGGGGCATTTGGATATTTATAACATCTTTCAAGGGCCATATTGATCAACTATTTAATTCACTCACCCCTAATGTGATGGCTGGAACCGCTTCTCGTTGGTGAGATGTGTGATGTTAACTGGCATTGATGAGCCCTGGTGGCATAGAGGTTCAGCATTGGGCTGCTAGCCCAAGACCAGCAGTTTGAAACCACCAGGTACTCCGAGGGAGGAAGATGAGGCAGCATTCTATTTCTGCAGAGGGTTACAGTCTCAGAAACCCGCAGGGGCAGTTCTGCCCTGGCCTATCGGACCTATGAGTCGGCATGGACCCCAGGCCAGCGAGAGTGGTTTGGGTTTGTGTTTGCAGTGCAGGGCAGGAGGCTCTCCATATCTGCTCTAGGTTACTGCTTCTCCCTCCCTCCCTCCCCTACGGATCATCAGAGTCTGTTTCTCTTGGTGTGAATACTTCTCTCTTATTTTTTTTAATAACAGTTGTCTCATACAATACTTGTCCTTTTGTCATTGATTCACTTCACTCGGTATAATGGTGAATATACCTTGTGTTAGGGCCACACTTGAACCACTATATAAGACCCCATTGACTGCATGCCGGAGTGGGATTCCCAGCCCTGACTCCATCTTTGAATCAGGGCCTTTTTTTAAAATCAGAAACAAGCAGATGGTGCAACTCTCCTGTGTGAGAAGCAGGCTTGCTTTCCCAAGTCATCCTTGGATGTGCATTTGGGTTCAACACTTTGGCCCCCAAATGGAGAAGGGACCTCATGCCGGGCCTGGTCCCCCTGTCCCCGTCTCTTTCACTTAAAGCTTCCAGACTTCTCTTTGGCTTGTGGCTTCTTCTCTTCAGTGATACTCAATGGTTGAGATAAACACAGATAATTATGTGAGCTGCAGGAGAGCTTGGGCCCGAACAAACTCAGCCTTGCTTTACTCCAGGGTGAGACAGTGTTAAGTGTTCAGTAAAGGGGTGTTGAGTTTGAACTCGACTCCCATGGTTGCCAGGGCCATTGACTTAGACAAGAAGCTCTGGTTCTAAAGTATGCCGTGCTGGGTTGTTAACTACAAGGTCAGCAGTTCGAACGCATCAGCCACTCCTCAGGAGAAGGATGACGTTATCTGCTCCTATACAGATTTACAGCCTCAGAAACCCCCAGGGGGTAGTTCTACTCTGCTCTTTAGGGGTTGCTATGAATTAGAATCCATTTGATGGCAGTGATTTGTTTGGCTTGATTTGATATTGGCTTAGACCATAGGTTCCCAAACTTATTTGGCCTACCCTTCCCCACCTCCCCCAATCTTTTCAGAAGAATATGACTGAGCACCTCTCTGGCAATTAAGCACATTGGTACTCTAGCCCGCAGTCCAGGATAAAGTGTAGGCATTTGCTTTCATGTCCTTCGGATCATTCTAGTACTTTGGGAAACACTGGCTTCATGCACTTGCCCGGACAAGCTTGGCTGGCCACGCTGGGTACCTGTCCCTGCTCTGGGCTACCTCTGGGCCCAGGCAAGTCGCTCTTCCTCTCTGTCCCTCAGTGTCCCATCTTCGAGGGACGTGATGATCTCTAACATCTCCTGGCAGCACAGTTGCCTGACTCCTGCCTGGTGACTGCCCAGCTGGGGCAACACTGGCAAGTTCATGCCGCAGTTTTCTTTCTCTCCTCTGGCAGCCCAGGGGTATAGCCGGGGCTTTTTCAGCAGCCCTGGTTTCTTTTTTCTTATTTATGAATCATTTTATTGGGGGGCTCATACAAGGCTTATCACAATCCATACATCCTTCCATTGTGTCAAGCACATTTGCACATTTGTTGCCATCATCATTCTCAAAACATCTGCTTTCCACTTGAGCCCCTGGTTTCCGGAAAGATAAAGCCCTCTTTACCTTTTGCCTGGGAGGTCTTTGGTACAACCTTCTCAGTCACAGAATGAAACTCTGTGCCGCTTTGGGGGCTTCTCTCTGCAGCTGTCCCCCACCTACGTCGGGAAGACCTGCGGCCTGTGTGGCAATTACAACGGCAACAAGGGCGACGACTTCCTCACTCCTGGCGGCCTGGCGGAGGCCCTGGTGGAAGACTTCGGGAACGCCTGGAAGCTGCATGGGGACTGCCAGGACCTAAAGAAGCAGGCCAGGGACCCCTGTAACCTCAACCCCCGCCTGAGTACGTCGCCCACATTGCAGTGCATCCCCCCACAGGGTCCCTTCTGGGGCTGCATGGTGCTAGGGCATGGGTGGGCCCTTGTTGGTGTCCCGTCAACATTTGATTATCTGCATCTAGATCACGGATTCTTCAGTGTTTCCCTACTGAGCACCCTCTGGGTGCCAAGCCCTGGAGAGGGAAAGAAAACAGAAGGTGGTTCTTGCCCACAGGGAGGTTGGTGTGGGGCCAAGGAGTTGAGGGCGGCCGTCCGCAGCTCCCTCGGAGGCACCCTTCCTGCCCTGCACTGACTTGCCCTCTGCCCTCCCTTTGGACAGTGGGTGCGTGCAGTACGGCGTTTATTTAAGACACAGATCATCTAGAGGGTCAATTGGCTGCAGAAGAAAACCCACAGCAACTCTCAGAGCCAACAGAGGCCGTGTAGGGCATTGTTCCTGCCGCCGGAGAAGCTGGCACTGGGCCTTTCTGAGAAGGAACCCTCATGTGTCCTCGGGCACAGGCAGGAGCAGGGCCCTGTCTCCCAGGCTCACCCCTCTCTCTCCCCACACAGCCAGGTTTGCAGAGGAGGCATGTGCTGTCCTGATTTCCAACAAGTTCCAGCCCTGCCACCATGCTGTCAGCCCTCAGCCCTACCTGCGGAACTGCCGCTATGACGTGTGCGCCTGCTCCGATGGCAGAGACTGCCTGTGCCATGCTGTGGCCAGCTACGCCTCAGCCTGCGCCCGCAGAGGCGTGGGCATCGCGTGGCGGGAGCCCAGCTTCTGTGGTGGGTGTCTTCCCTGCACATGCTTGCTCCAGGCTGCTTCAGCCCTGCCCTCTGACCTGCCTGTTTTTCCACAGTGCTTTCATGGCTGCATTGCATGCGGCAGTGAGCCCACGTTTTGACAGTCGGGGTATGACAATAGTTCACTTGCAGCCCCGTTGTCCTTCCAGCTCCCAGAAGCACGGGGGTGGGGGCTGGCCCTCTTATACAGGTCAGTCTGGTTGTTCTGGCAGGCTCCCAGAGGGCACAACTGAGCCCCCTACCCTGGAGCCCTGGGGCCCCAAGGTCTCTGCTAAGTGGAGGTTTCCCATGACTGCAGTCTCCCAGCATCCCAAATGTGTCCAACCAGGTTGTGCAGAGTGTGTGTGTGTGTGGGGGGGGACTTCCTAGATTCCAGGGGCTCCCCTCATCTGATGAGGACAGGGGGAAGAGCGCATGCCAGTCCTTGCATGTAACTTCAGGCAAGCCTTCTCGGGTTCGCAGCCAGAATGCCTGGCTTTCTAAAGGCTGCAGAGAGTCGAATCTCATTGCTGTCCCCAGTTGACACTTTGTGCTGCCAGATTCCCGGCGCCATACCCTCATCCCTTGGGTGGCTAGATTGCACTCATACGTATGTGTGTGTGTGTGGTTGTCGTTGCTGCTCAGGGTGGCCAGCCAGCAGCCATGATGTGGCGCTTGACTTTCCTCGTTGAGGCACACATGGAAACTGCCCGCTCCTCGATGCTGACCGCCAGAATAGCAGGCTGGTGAGCCAAGGGAGGGGCGACCAAGGGGAGCTGTGGGGAGGACGTCCAGCGGCCTTCCGCTGAGACACTGTCCCGCATACTGTAGTATACACAAGGTGAGTCACACACATTGTTTGGCAAAGATAAAAATGATGTTTACACTATTCTGTAGTCAACTAAGTGTGCAATGGCACTACGGACAAAGTGTGAAAAGATGCGAAAATCACCCAAATGCAACACAGAGGCACAGAGTGAGCACATGATCTTGAAAAAATGGTGCTGAGAGATGCACTTGACACTGGGCTGCCACACACCCTCAGCCTGTGAAACACAGTGTCTGCGGGCACCTTGCAGCAGGGCAATGACTTCAGGTGCACCTGAACTGGACTGTGGGGTTAAGTAAGAGCTTTCTTGGTGGAAAGGCTTGTCTTCCAACAGCTGGGTGATAGTGATGAGACATAGGGACGGGGGAGAGGACATTCCGAGGGAGGTGCAGGGGATATGCTGTGTTAGGGGTAAGGGAGGTGTGTTTGGAGACTAAACTTAGGTTCTCCTAATGGGAAGGGGAGCACAGTAGCTACGAGGAAAGGAGGAGGGATTGGAGATCACATATTTATAGCGAAGCTTAGGTTCAGGGGCTCTGGAAGTGTCAATTGGAGTATTATGAGCCAGGTGTCATTTTGTGGGGATTAATCTCATAAAAAAAAGAGAAGCTGGGACAAGAAAGGATGAAGGGGGCAGAGACTTGAATGCCTGTCTTTCACCCTCCCCTCTACTCCCCCTTGGCCCTGAGAACTAAGTCTGAGCCTTTCCGACCCATGTGCTTGTGAGTCTGTATGAACTTGAGCCCTTTGTTCGACCCCTCCAAATTTCAGTTTATTTCCCTGTGTTTGGGAAAAGTTGCTGTTGAAAAATTGGGGAAAGCAATGGGAGCGGCAAATGCTGTGATGTCTTATGAATATGCTTTTGTTGCCCCCCAATATCGGAGACTGTGCATTATCAGTATGCTACAGCATCAGAAAGAGTTCCCAATTTAGGACATTCTCCCAGAATGCTGAGGGGCTACTGAAACATTCTTTAATCTCCACGAACAGCTTGTTCCACAGAGTGGAATGAGAGGAAACGGCTGACGTTGCAGTAGTGGGTTAATGAATTTCCTGGTTCCTGAGACTTAATGATAGGGCAGTAAGTGCCAGGCGATGGGGCAGGATCTTTCTCGGAGACTTTTAAGGACATGTAGGAATCTTGTCTCCATGGGTTTGTGGAGGGTGGGCTGAACTTAAGTATCCTTGTCTTCATTATTTCTCAATTCGGAGAAGGACTAAGTTTCTTTCAGCCATCTCTTTGACTTCTTCCATCCTGGAGAAATGAGCAGAGCTCTCTAAATCACCTACTACTGTAGAGTCCATGCGGAGAGGTCACACTAGGTGGGAGCACTCACGGCTCAGGGGCTTATCAAACGGGGGTGCTGGGAGTAGATTCAGGAGAAGCGCATACTCAAGAAATTGAATGAAGCTCCAAGTCAGCTCTAGAGACAGTCTATTAGAGGAAACAGCTCTCAGGCCCAGCTTGAATGGATGGAATGTGCCCTTATCATCATGGGCACGTTTATTGGATTGAAAGGGATCGACACCGTTATTACCCAACAGCTCAATCTGTACACCCTCCGAATAGCCGTTCAGCGACTTGGCGTCTCCGTTGGTCCAGAGAAAACGGGTGTCTTACATGCTCGGCAGCGTGCCAGCAGCATGGGTGGGAATCCCGCAGCAGCGGCTGGTTAATACCCGCCAAGAAACCTTCCCTTTCAAGCTGCCCTCAGACGCTGAGCCCAAGGCAGCTGTGGGAGGTGCAGGGTTGGTCTCTCAGGTGGGGGGTGAAGGCTCTCACCCCACTTCTTAGGTGTGTGACCAGGACTTCTTTATGGAGTGTTGTTCTCTCGGGTTCGGGGTGGTGGTGGTGGTTGGTTCTGCGGTAGAAAGGAATTCAAACTGAGAAGGGAAGGAGTTTAATGGTCTCAGGAGGGGTGTGGCCACAGCCGTGGTCTCATCTTTCCGATAATAGCTGGTCATCGATGGGAAGGGGTTTTGAAAGAGCAGAGTCCTCCCCTTACCTCCCCTCTCAGTGAAGAGTTCCAGTAAGTGCTCACAAGACACCGGTGAGCCCAGAACGTGGGCTTGGCGTTGACTAAAATCCAGGAGTGTTATTCTTCGGGCTAGTTTTTCCTTTGGAATATCCTCTCCCACCCCACTGACCTGGGCGAAAATGATCATGGCTAGTTACTCACGAGAATGCAATAATAATGAAACAAATAGCAATGAGCTTTTATGACAGGCTAGGCTCTCATCAAACCCTTACGACATGCTAGGAGGGGAGTACTAGCTAATCCAGGAGTTGCGGCTTGCAAGTTTATACCCTTAGCTGATTCGACACTCGGCCCTTCTTCTTCCTGACACCTGTCTATTGCAGTGCTTCTGTGTGGGAGTCCAGGGTGAATGAGGGTGTGGGCCAATGCGTGTCACCCCCTTTGCTGGACTAGGTGTAAGAATATCCATGCTCCTTCTCACCAGGGTGTCCTCAAAAGCATGGCTCCCGAGTGATTGCTTTCTCTTTAGAGCAACGTGGTTTAAGAGCCCAAGCTTTCGGGTCACAGAGAGCTGGGTTCAAATCCTGCCTCTGTTTCTTCCAAGGAGGTCACACCCTGACAAGTCACCGAGCGCAACCTTCAGTTGTTTTATCTGTAGAAAAGGCAAACTCACCGAGGGAGGTATGCATAGGAGACATAAAGAGCGTGCGGGAAGGGCGGGGCCTGGTGCAGGTGCTCAGTCAATAGTAGCCATTGTTGTTTTCCTCATGGGGGAGGCCGCTGGCTTTAAAATCGCCAGAATTATTACTTCGTCCCAGGCTTTGAGAATTTGGGGTTGACTCAATCATGGACCCTCCCAGTAAGTAGAGAGAAAACATGTGTATTGCAATTAGGATCTACAGGAAGACATTGCTGCTCGTAGAGGAGAAGGAAGGCCGTGACCGTACAGATAGGACTGGAGGCCACACCTACGAAGGGTAGCACCCCAAGTCCGGAGGTCCACAGCCTTGTCTTCTCAGCACCTTTCTGGAACTAAATCGTCCTCCTCTCGACTCTCTCAGCCCTGGACTGCCCCCAGGACCAGGTGTACCTGCAGTGTGGGACCGCCTGCAACCTCACATGCCGCTCCCTCTCTTACCCGGATGAGGAATGCAACGAGGTCTGTCTCGAGGGCTGCTTCTGCCCCCCAGGACTCTACCTGGATGAGAGGGGGGACTGTGTACCCAAGGCCCAGTGCCCTTGCTACTATGACGGTGAGATCTTCCAGCCTGAAGACGTCTTCTCAGATCATCATACCATGTGGTGAGTGCCAGCAGCAGGGCCATGCGGGCCTCCGCAGTCCTCACAGTATGAAAGGCTACAACGAGGCCAGCAAAAGCCGCAGCGGCTTGTGCAGACAAGCAGGGCTGGGCTTGATGGTGTCCTCTGGCGGCCGGCGGCTTCCCTGTGCGGGGAGCCAGAACGCCAGACTAGCCGTCGGGGGTTTTGAGCTTCACTGCCAACTATCAGCATGGTCCTCATTTCCTTTCTTTAGGACTCATTTTTTTTTCTGGTCCTAGAACAGGAAATGGGACCTCACCCTCTCCTTGGGCAGAGGCATTTTGAATCAGATGAAAATACACCAGAGCTGCATCAGGTGTCAGGATCCCGGCTGCCATAGCCGTTACGAGTTGGGCTGCTCATTGCCAGGCCAGCAGTTTGAAACCACCAGCCACTCTGCAGGAGAAAGACGGGGCTTTCTACTCCCATCGAGTCACAGTCTTGTAAACCCCCAAGGGGCAGTTCCACCCTGTCCTATACAGCTGCCATGTGTCGGCATCAACCTGATGGCAGTGAGTTTTGAGTTTGCGTCGCCAGGCATCCAGAATTGCTTCAAATCATCCTCGCTCCTTGGAGCGGTGGCCTGTGCCCTCTCTGGTGGTCTGTTCTGGTTTCAGCAAGACCGTTGTGGTCACAAGTTGTTTTCAGTAGCCTTTTTGTTTTGTTTCTTTTTGTTGTTGGCAACCATTTGCATGGTCCGGCTCTGTCCCAGGTTCTGGGCTAGGGATTGATGGCAGACCCCCCTGAGAGGCTGCTAGGGAAGACCAGTGAAAAGGTCCTGATGATGGGAACTGTCCACTGTGTAGAAGTTGAGGGTGGTAGCTCACTCAGAGCCAAACTCCCCACCATCACGTTGATTCTGACTCCCTATGACAGAGTAGAATTGCCCCGGTGAGCTCCTGAAGCTATAAACCTTTACGGGAGCAGAAAGCTCCATCTTTCTGCAGTGGAGGAGCTGGCTTGTTTGAGCCGCTGATTTTGTGCTTCTTCATGGCCACCAGCAGGGCTCCCTGAGAACACTGGTCCCCTCCTGTACTCAGCAGCAGCGTCCAGGATGACCAGCACGTAGGCATCTTCTGTCTGTTCTTTCCTCCTGCCTTTGGGTGGGATAGTTAGAGCAAACCTCAGACATTGTATCCTTCACCTACATGCTTTTAACCATATGTGACCATGAAACTACGATTACCTGAAAAGTTAGCAGCTGTTACTTAAGACCATTGAGTAGTCAGTTCATAGTCCCATTCCCTAAACTGCCTCAAAATACCTTTTAAAATAATTGCCTTGAAAAAAATCAAGATCCAAACAAGGCCTGCATGGTATATTTGTTATGAAGCTTTTTCTAAGCACTCCCGAGTGAGCTTGATTCTTAACCTCCCCACCTCCTCTATCCAAAACAGTGGTCTGCATTTCCATTCAAACGATAAGCTATCTCTATTGGATTTGGAGTTCAGTAACTGTGTTATGTTTCCACTCTAGACTGTGAGCTCTCCCAGAGGAGAGATTGTAGCATATGACCCCCTAGCACTTGTCACCCTCTAGTCCAAAGTAGCTACTCAACGAAGGCTTATGAGACGGAATAATGATAACACCCGCGATCCTGGCCAGGTCAGAGACATTAAGAATTCTCATCCAGAAAAGGGGATGGTGGCTTCCATTTGGGAGGGATTAGGGAAGGCTTCATGGAGAGGTGAGCTTCTGAGCTTGGGAAGGATTCTAACAGCCAAGCTGGGTAGAATAATGGAACGCGTTTTTTTTTAGCTGGAATAGAGGCCCAGAGACTAAACCGTATAAGGAGTGTTCAGTACCTACCCGGGTGGGTCCTCTGGTGGGGACATATGTTGTATGACAGAAAAATAAGATCCAAGGGAAATTGGCCGAAAAGGGGGTGTGGACTGATGCTTGAGCAGTAGGCACTGGAAGCCAATGGAAGGCCGAGGAAAAGCAGGGTCGCTGAGTGGCTTTAGGGAGTGGATTTGGTCTTGAATGAGATACGGAGGCAGGGAGGCCAGTTAGGACAGTGTTGAAATGACTGGTCCAAAAGGAGTAAGACCCGGACCAAGTAATAGTCCTTGGCATTGGAGAGTGGGACAAAGAAGTTCGCAGCCTTGAGGAAGTCGGGGGAGAGAAAGGACTCGCTGAAGATGGCTGTTGTCTTCAACTTGAAATTGGAACTGGGAGGACAGTGATGGCAAGGACAGCAAGAGGGCTGCCTGGCAGCAGAGCAGGCTTTGAAGAGGGACAATACGGTATTTGGTTTTGGCCTTCTGAGTCTGAATTACGAAGAAGGCATCTGGGTGAATGAATTCAGTAGTTTGAGTTAAGGGCTTGGAACTTGAGTGAGAGATTGGGTTGAAAAAAAATTGTATAGCAACCAACGGTTACAGCCAGAAGAGTAGCCGGGCTAGCTAAGGGGCGAAGAAGAGCAGAAAAGAGGACTGAGCCCAGAGCTCTGGGGAATGTTCAGAGGGCCACAGAAGGAGACAGAGGAGCTTGGGAGAGGCCCAAGAAAACGGCCAGTGAGAAGGGCGACCTCAGGCCAGTGAAAGGAGTGATCTCATGCTTCGGTGGTTTAATCTGGTGGTTTTATTACACTCATCTGGCTGCACTTTTCAAAGTGCTTCTCTCTGGGATCCAACATCAACAGTTAGGCAGGAAGGGACTGCCTTTTTAATAAGGAATTTGAGGCTTAGAGAGATGATCGCTTTCCCAAAGTCATCCAGCAAGTGACTGGAACCCAGGGACTCTTGAACCAGTGTTCTCGCCATGACTTATTGAAAAGAGGCTGGATCTGGCCATCAGAAGGCCCTGGCGGCCTCTACATCTCCGCAGTGTGTGGAGGGAAGAAGCTGGATGGTGGGAAGCTGGGCTGATCGAAGGACAGGAGGTGTGAATTTACCTGGTCAGTGGCACAGGGAAGGTGGGAATGGAAGGGGGCAGCCTCTGAGAGGGCGGGGCTGGGGAATGGCTTGGCCTCAAGCTCTTTGCACAGCTTGCTCACTGCTGACCTCTTCTGGTGTCTCCCGCCCGGCACCCGTGCTGAAGGTCATCTGTCAGCACGTCTCTTCCCTTTCATTTAGAAAATTGCATCTCTTGGATAATATATGCCAGAGGGAGCTCAGGGCTTGTTTTTATTTTTAATTCATTAGACAGCTCATCAGAGAATCAGCCCTGCTGGGGCAAATGCTGATGATGCCCTTGAAAAGGTAGTAACTTGTCATTGAGTTGATTCTGACTCACGTGTCAAAGTAAAAACTGTATGATGCTCTGCGTGTGCAATAGCTGACATCCATCTTATAGAAGAGATCACCAGACTTTTCTTCTGAGGTGCTGTTGGGTGGATTTGAACTGCCAAACTCTCGGTTAGTAGCTAAGCACAAGCCATTTGTTCCCCACAAGGTGGTAAGCAGGCGCTGACTCATGTGGCCTGGAGGCTATTCTGATCATTCACTTGGCCCTCCATCCAAATGGCCATCGCAGATGCTTGTGATCCAGACTGCCCGCACTGGTGGATTTTCATAAGTCGGCCACTGGACCTTTCTTCCAGCTTGGCTTACTCTGGAAGCTCTACTGGACCCTCTTCAGCACCCTAGTAACACGTACGCCTCCTTGGGCGGATGGGCTGTGCTCCCATGAGGTGTACTGGTTTGAACCCACTAGCTTCTCCGTGGAAGAAAGCTGTGGCAGTCTGTTTCTTTCAAGATTGACAGTCTTAGAAAAATCTCTGGGCAGTTCCACTCCAGCCTCTTGTGCGTGTAAAGTGACTTGACGGCAGAGGGTTAAAGGGAACACAGAACAACCTCGCCTTTTACACATACATGTTTAAGCAACCAGATATACCTTAACTCGAACAAAATCTTCTTAGTTGCCTATTGCTGCCCAAGAAATAACCCCCACACTTAGCAGCTTACAGCAACAAACGTCTATTATCTCACACCGATTCTGAAAGTCAGGAAGCCAGGAGCAATTTAGCTGGGTGGTTTTAACTCAGTGTTTCATAAGGCTGCACCAAGCTTCTGGCCAGGGCTGCAGTCCCCGAAGACCTGAGCAGGCCTTGACGGTCCAGTCCACGCTCACTTGGCTCTTGGGAGGAGGCTTCAGCTCCTCTTCATGTGGGCTTCCCCGTAGGGTGACTCATAATATGACTTATCCCAGTGAATGATCCAAGAGCAAAGGCATCAGGATGGAAGCCACCTGCCTTTTATTCGAGTGGCATAGAATCACTTCTGCCCTCTTCTGTTAGGCACACAGAACAACCCTGATACAGGGTGGAAGGAGAGGACACACAAGTGTGGACACCAGGAGGTGGGATCATTGAGGGCCACGTTGGGGTCTGGCTACTACAAAATTAGGTTCCCATGTTAATGGAGGGTATTAAATGGAGATGGGGGTGGGGTGGAGGAAAATTAAAGAAATGAAAACACAGACCCCCTCCTCCAAAGCTCGAGTGCTTTCTGCTAAGCCTTGCGTGGGAGTATGATGATGAGCAAGACCAGCCATTGTTTCTGTCCCCAAGGGTTGCATAGTCCCCTGGGAGAGACCATGTCAAGTCACAAGTGAGACTAAGTGCTGGGAAGAGCAGCGTGTGGTCTGTGGCAGCTGATAATGTGTGTCTCTGTGGCTGGAGGACGTGACACGGCACCAGAGACAGTGTGTATAGCAGCCCTTCCCTCTGTTGGGAGTATTGTACTTGTAATCGTAGAAGGAGGCCAGTGGGGTCGAGAAGGGAAAGGTAGGCAGGGTTAGATCACAGGGGCCCCTAGCAGGTCATGTTAGGGGCTTTGTCTTTATTCTAAGGCCTATTGGAAGGAAGCTACGGAAAGGGTTCAAGCGGGGCTGTAACATCACCAGATTTGGGTTTTGAAAATACAGTTGGCTGATAAGTTTAGTGTGTTTTGGAGAGAGGCAAGGGTGGGTAACAAACCAAACCAAGCTCACTGCCATCAAGTCCACTCTGACGCATGGTGACTGATAGGCACGGTGGGACTGCCTCTGGGGTTTCTGAAACTGTGACTCTTCACGGGACTAGAAAGCCTATATTTCTCCCGAAGGTTAGATCCAGGGACATCTGACAGGAGAGTCTTGCGTTGCCTGGGTGAGAGGTGATGGTAATTGGATCAGGAGCAGGAGTGGCTCCGAGAGGCAGAGGATCAAGAAGCCTCTTGATCAGATCTAGCAGCACGAGGTAACTCACGGAACAGAGGTTGATGCCGAGAGTCCCCTGGGCAGAAGTTTGCACAGAGCAGTGTAGGGTACTTGTTTATAAACATTATATGCTTAATGTTGGTGAGCAGGTGAGCAAGGAAAAATGTGTTTAAACGATGATGGGGCTGTTTTTGTGCCAGTTAATGCATTTCAATGGACAATACCACGAAGCCAGGTGAGTTCTTGTTTCCCTCTTTGGGTCCAGGTATCCTGGTGCTCTTCCAGACACCAGTCTGTGAGGTGTGGCTACATATGCCATAGTGACTTGGTGATGGCCCATGTGTACAGCGCGAGGTAGAGGCAGCACCAGCCAGGGATGATCCATGGGTGCTTGGATTGTGAAAATAAATGCAGATCCTATTCAGTGAACCCAAGCCCTGGAAGCAGACTGACTTTGTTTGGAAGAGCAGGCGTTCAGTTATGGACATGCCAAGTTTGAGATGCCTTTTAGACGCCAAAGGTGGCCATCTTGTAAGCTTTTGACTAAATGGGTCAGGGGCTCCAAGGAGAGGCCTGAGCAGCCGATGTAAATTTGCAAGCTATTTGTGTAATTGACGGAGCTTTGGACGACCATGACGTGTGAGGAAAAGAGAGCCAGCCCAGGATGGCCCTTGGGGTGCTGGCATGTAGAGGCCAGACAGAATGGGGTGAGATATTGTTGAAGCTGAGAAGGGACAAGCAGGGGTGTAGGAGGGAACCCAGGAACGAATTCCCCCCTGGAAGAACAGAGTGGTCCACAGTGATGGCTAACGTAAAAGAAGATCAGGAGAGAACAGAACTGTAAAAGATCCCGTTGTTTTTAGTGACACGAAGGCGCTTGGTGGCTTTGGCAAGCTGTGTTTGAGTGGAGTGCTGGGCCTGGCAGCCCTGTTAGAGCGACGGCGTGAGTGGGAGTTGAGGCCATGGAGACGCCAGTGTAGAAAACGCGGACTGAGACGTTTGTCTTTGCAGCTACTGCGAGGATGGTGTCATGCACTGCACCACAAGTGGAGTCCCGGGAAGCCTGTTGCCAGACATTGTCCTCAGCAGCCCCCTGTCTCACCGCAGTGAGTATTACACCCATAGTGGGCTCTTGGCATCCCTCCCTCCGACGGTGACTGCCTGGTGTGGGGGGTGGGGGTGGGGGTAGTTGGGCTGTACTGCCCGTGCCTGCGCCTAGCTCTGGCTTCCTCTAGGCTTGACCCAGTTTCTGCGTACGTGTGAGTGACCTTCAGTCCTAGGCATTTCTTTGCTGAGTCAAATTTAAACTATTGATTAAGGCATTTAAATTGTGATTATTGTCTTAACTTGTTATTGTAAATGGCTTGAAGGTCTACGGAGCAGATCGTCAGCTTCACATTCAACACTTCATCCATGTTTCCTCTCATCTCGTTTATTTCGGTACCCTCAGTAGACCATCTTGTGCCCCGCTTCCTGTCTGTGTGTTCTCTCTCCATCCTTCTTTCTTCTGAACTTGTCCTTGGATAAATGTTGCCTGTTGATCCCACTACTTCACGGATGTTCTCCTCAGAGACCTGCCTGTTGTTCGGCTGAAGGTGAGGTAGGGGTGAGATCAGTTCCAGACCTGACGGGTGTCCAAGGGCCACAGTCTCAGGGTTCCACGAGTCTCTATCCGGCCAGTCAGCCTGATATGTTGTTTCTGTTTTGAGTTTTCTTCCACATTTTCTCCTGCTCTATCTAGGACCTTCAAATGTAATCCCTTTCAGAGCAGTTGGTAGTGGTAGCTGGGGACTCTCTAGTTATTCTGGTCCCAGGTCATGGAGACTGGTGTTCATGTGGGCCATTAGTCTGTTTGCCTGATTGTTTCCATTTGTCCTTGATTTTCATTATTCGTCTTCCAGATATGGAGAGACCAATAGCCACACCTTAGATGGCTGCGCCCGACAGTACTGAAGTAGGATGAAGACCATTGTCTTTGTGTGCTACTTTGTGCAAGTTGACTTGGATGTCCCCTGAGGCCAATACCTCAAGGCATTTGGTCACAGCGAACAAGTATTTATACATGTGTCCTCTGTGTGCTCCACCATGTTCATGGATATATTTGTAGCACGAGGAAGTGTTTTATTTTGGGGAAGGAAAAGACTGAATTATATACAGGATTGATTCAGTGAGACTTCTGTTTTGCACATGGTGACCTAACCCAGGGAGCAACTGTGAGTTGCCCTGATTGTGATGAAAATCACGTTTGCTCTCCTTAGGTGGCCGGGTCTTCTGTGCGATGGGCATGCTGCTGAGGGTAGCTCTTTAGAACATGGATTTAAAGAGGAGGGTTTGGGCAATTGGTTTTAGCTTCAAGGTCCTATAGTTGCTTTATTGTTAGGGGCAAGATGCAGAAGGCTACGAGGGTCTGACCTTGCACTGGTAGAACGATATTCCTGTTGATGGATCATAGAGACTGCATCTGCTTCGAGAACGATGCTCCTTGCTTAGCCAGGACCTCTCTGCAAAGGAGGAGAATGGCATCATTAGGGAGAGAGTTGGGCTGTTTCAGCTTGACCTCATCTCTTTCCACCTTTGACTGTCCTTAAGGCTCCCTCTTGCTAATCATGGGCTCTCTGTGCCATGCTGTTTGGCTCTAGGTTGTCCGAGTGAGAGATTTGCTGACTGGGGGACGTCTGACTCGGGACGTCTCTCAGCTTAGAGTTGGGCCAAGATCCGAAGCCTGGGGATGCCTCACACATTGAAATCAGAACTCGTGACCCGTGATCCCCACATTCTTCTGCCTCTTGCCCGCTCTCTTGGTGTAACATCTTCCTCACGCCTTCTCTGTAGACCTGCCTTTCATACTTTCAGCCTCCCTTGCTTGAAGTCTTCCAGTCTGGTCCCTGGAAGATCTTATCTTTTTCTTTCTTTTTACCTTTCTTAAGTAAATCATTTTACTGGAGGCTCTACAGCTCTTGGAACAATCCATACATCAATCGTATCAAGCACATTTGTACCTATGTTGCCATCATCATTTCAAAAATAAACTCTTTCTACTTAGCCCTTGGTATTAGCTCCTCTTTTTTCCTCTCCCATTCTTGGGAACCCTTGATAATAGATAAGTTATTTTTATTTTCATATTTTACATCATCCGCTGTCTCCCTTCTCCCACATTTCTGTTGTTCATCCTCCTGGTTGGGGTGGTGGTGGTGGTGGTGGTGTTGTATGTCCATCATTGGGATTGGTTCCCCCTTCTCCCTCCACCTTACCCTTACCCTCATGGTATTGCTACTCTCATTATTGGTCCTGAGGGGTTTATCTGCCCTGGATTCTGTGTGTCAAGAGCTCTTCTCTGTACCAGTGTGCATGCTAGCCACTATTTACAAATTACAAATTTGTAGCCAGATTTGTAAGGTAGAACTGGGGTCATAATAGTGAGGGAGTGGGGATAAGCACTATAGGATTAGAGGAATGTTGTGTGTTTCATCAGTGCTATACTGCACCCTGGCCGGTTCATCCCTTCCTTGTGGCCCTTCTGTGAGGGGATGTCCAATTGTCTACAGATGGGCTTTGGGTCTCGATTCTAACACCCCTCATTGTCATCTAAATGATAGTTTATTTTCGGTCTTCTGATCACTGGTCCTTCTGACACCTCATGATCACATGGGCTGGTGTGCTTCTTCCATGTGGGCGTTGTTGTTTCCCTGCTAGTTGGCCCATTATTTAACTTCAAGCCTTTAAGACTCCAGACGCTATATCTTGTAATAGCTGGGCACCATCAGCTTTCTTCACCATATTAGCTTTGAAATTTCTAGAATTCTGTGGAGGTTTGGAAAAGCCAGATAGCCTTTTGAAGTTCTCACTTCCTAGCTTTTCTAAGGTCAGAAATTCTGACTTGTTCACAGGAGGGAGTAAGCGAGCTAAATGATGCTGAGCACTTGGGGGTTTTGAAAGAAGGGTACGGGCTCAGTCTCCCACTGTCGTCATTTATTCACTGAAATGTTGAAACCTACTAATTGCCAGGAAAAATGACCTCTCAATGAACAAAGTTGACAAACATTCTCATCTTCATGGAGCATATATTCTGGTGAGGGAGAGAGATGCACAGCCGATATAATTGGCCTAAGTAACCAAGGGCTCAAATAGAAAGTAAATGTTTAGAAAATGATGATGGCAACATATGTGCAATTATCCTTGATACAATTGATATGTGGAATATTGTAAGAGCTTTAAGCGCCCCCAATAAAATGATTTAAAAAAAGATATTTTAACTTTCCAAAAAAAGAAAAAATGAAAAGAATTCAAATAAGTAAAATACACAGTATGCCATCTGGTGACAGGTGTCGCAGAGAAAAGCAGAGCGTGAAGGGAGATAGGAGTGTTGGATAGGGCTGGGGTGTTGCAATTTTAAATAGAATGGCCGTGGATGGCCTCCTAGCGAGGAGCAAACCCCCCTTTAAAGACTGTGCTTCTCTTTCTACTCCGGCTGTAACCATTGTAGTAGGGGCGCTGCTGGGCCTTACCACGGATCCTTGTAGCTTGGGTCAGTCCTCCTGCTACAGCCGGATGGCGAGGGATGAAGAGTGGCGCCGTTAGAAAAATGCTGGGCTTGGCAGGGCTGCCGCCAGCCTAGGCCGGAGGTCAGCAGCTCAGGCTGCCATCCCTGTCCCACTCAGGCAGCCCATCTCAGGGCTACACCCGACCAAAGCTCGGGCAGTACTCTAGCTCAGCCCAGGGTCCTTCAAACCGAGTGACCACACTCGGGCCCAGAGGACAGTGTGGACGATAGATGATGCGTCACTCTTCGATTTTTCTCCCTCCAAGGCAAGAGGAGCCTCTCCTGTCGGCCCCCCATGGTCAAGCTGGTGTGTCCTGCTGACAGCCCCCGGGCCGAAGGGCTGGAGTGTGCCAAGACCTGCCAGAACTACGAGCTGGAGTGCATGAGCTCGGGCTGCGTCTCCGGCTGCCTCTGCCCGCCGGGCATGGTGAGGTGCTTGCCGCTGTCGTGCATCCTTCCCTTCCCGTTGTCCGTCTTCCTGCAGGCTGGGAGGAGTGAGGGGCTGTGCAGCTGACAACTGGCGGGGGTGGCAGGGCTACAGGGGACGAGGCCAGCGGCCAAAGTCAGGGAGGGTGCTTGGAGCGACGTGTTGGGGAGGTCCTGCTGAAATCTGACAGATACGTAAGAACTTAGCTCCCAGGGGTGCAATAAGAAGCGATGAAATGTTTCCAGAAAATACTTCGAAATCAGAAGAATTATGTCTACCAGGATTTCCCCAGGGGGCTGCCCAATACATTTCACTTTCCACTTGAAGAGAAGACATGGATGGCCTAACCACACTACTAATAAGCCACGGCCCTGTGAATCCCTTCTCCACACCGAGCCTTGTTTCGCTCACCCGTAAGGTGGGCTGGGCGGTCCTGGAGCTGTGAGCAGTCCATGGTTTTGTGACCGGGCTGCTGTCACACAGAGGGCAACCAGCCGTGCCTTGGGGCCACGTACAAAACATGGCCAGCAGACTCCTCTGCTCAGCCTCCAGCGTATGGCATCCTGACCGGGAGGGCTTTGTACGTCTTGGGTTCAGTCCTGGCAGATGGACACAAGGCTAGCCTAAATGCTGTGGAGCCGCCAAACCTCTTGCCTGCTGGATTTCGACCAGTGTGGGGAACAGGCAGCAGTGCCCTGCACCAGGAGGGGGGCTGACTGCACTGCTTTGTCCGTGTTGGCTGCTTTCTGCCTCTCCTACTCAGGTCAAGATCTACAGTGAGGGACTGGGCGCACCCTGCCCTCATTTCCATCGGCCATGGCTGAATCATTTCGACCTGGTTCGAAGCCCTGCGTACCTTTCTCCCAAGTCCAATCTTAGGCTTGTTTTCTATGAAATATATTATGTAATTCCAGATTCACTTCTTTCAAATGCTTCCTGTCTTCTTGCTTTCCCTTATTCCAAATCGCTATACTCAAAACTGAATGAGTGGCGCTGGGCTGGTGTGGGGGCCAGGGTGGGAGAGGGCGGATGGCTGCAAAGGGACCTTCCCAAGTCCCTGGCTTTGGTGTGAGGGGCTGTGGGGATTGTCTCTGTTCTGTAGGGAGAACTTTGGCTCATCACCAGAGTCCTTGAGGAGGGCTGGGATGTGGAGTTTGTGCAACCAGGTCTCTTTCGAAACAGAGAGAGAAGGTTGTATTAGTTCTCCCCTGAATGTCCCCTCTGCCTTGACCTTTAGAGATTCTGGAAATGCTTTTGGTAATAGGGGGGCTAGAGTTTGGCCCCTGAGCATCTCAGAACTTGAGGCCTTGCTGGGTCTCTTAGTAGTAAGTGGATATTCAAGGCGGGTCTCTCAAGAGGGGAAGTCAGACCTGGGTAGGGACGAGAAATAGGAGAGGAGAGGGAGAAGGTTCTATATTGTTCTTTTTGTCCCCAGGCCTTTTATTTTTAATTGTCTCAGAGATTGGGGTGGGGGTGGGGCACGACTTACTGTCCTCTTACCCTGTCACAACGAGAGAGACTGCTGACAGCAGAGAAGACACAGGGGAGGAAAGAGGCCCCACCTAGGAACTTGTTCAGCATCAGGGACCCCCTTCAATGAGTTTCTCTTTTTCCTGAGAGAAGAACCTAAGTTCGCCTTAAATATCCGAACCACAGCCGCGGCCTGATGGTTCCAGAGCCCAAGAGGTGAGGGCAGCTCCCAAGCCCAGGGAGCAGACGGCTATGAGGAGCTAGCTCACGTTGTGTTCCTGCAGGCCTCTGGCTGCATCCTGCACATCGTCAGTGCTTGGAGACCTGGTATAGAACTAGGTGACGCGCACGTCAGCTGACTGTGGGAGATCAGAATAAACGCACAAGTTCATATTGTCCGGGATACGGTTATTTTCACAAGTGCTTCATTTTGATGCTGATTAATGTGCAAATGGCCGCGGCCAGATTTGGCAGTGCTGCACAGGCCGTGTAATTTATTAAGTGCATGCAGCATGCTGGCCGCAGTGCAAGACATGTGTTCTTGGCTCTACTGAAAACAAAATGGGCCTGGGAAAGCCCCCTTTGGGTCCATCTGATGGCGCAGGCATTATACCCAGGGACATTTTTCCGGCCAGCTGGTCCTCTGGGTGAGACAGGGAGCTGATGGCCTGTTACCAAGGGCTTTGGGGGGCGTGGGGCCCGGGATCCTTCCTGCCGAGAATTCTAAAGGGGAGGGGATTGACTTGTTTTTGGGGACAGCTCCACATAGAGCAGAAAAATCCCCCAAGGAGCAGTGGGAGGGTTGTGCTGTTAGCTCAGGTCTCACGACTTTCAGGCGAGGTGACTTTGCACCATCTTGAATCCTCTTGCCCCATCCCAGCATCCTCAGCTGTAACATAGGCTCATGGTCCATGTTCTGCCCTCAGCCCTCGCTGGCTCCGGGCACAAACGAGATGAGTGTGAAAACATGTTTAAAACCTGCAGGAGCAATAGAGTCATAAGAAATCACTCCTCTGGTACAAACAGCCAAGGTGGAGACTCAGAGATGCCCCCAGACGGCACCCCTTCTTGCCTGGGGAGGGACCCGGGCTCTTATCTCCAGCCTCTTAAATTTTTCTTATTAGACAACAATCGTGCTGTGACTTTGTCACAATGTCAGCTAGGCTGCTCAAAACGGGCTCTTTATGGCCCGCACTCTGAGCAGCCCTGCTCTAGCTGCTCTCTGGCCTGCACCGCAACGCTCCACGCTGACCATTGGTTTCTGCTCAGCAGTGCCTGCTTCTGACGTGACCCGGGCCCCGCACCTGCTCAGAGCAGAGGTTTCTGGTCCTTCCCACAGGCGGGGGCCCTGCCTGCTCCTGCCCCAATGAAAGGACGGCTTTAGAAAAGTGGTCAGCGTCACCACAGGCGGCTGGCAAAGGTGAAGATGCTGGCAGGCCAGGCATGGAATTCATGCGACAGCCTTCTGGGTTTAAACCCTGGCCCTCGATGTTCGCCTGCAACCCGCAAGCCTTGGTGCCTTCCTGTTCTCATGGCAAAGCTTTGGCTAGCAGCAGTGTGAAGATTGAAGATGAAAGAGGCAGGCCCTCGGAAGGTGCTTAAGAAGCAGAGGTTTAGTGACAAAGCAGTGGCACACGACTGCTAGCCTAAGGTTGTAACTCACTCAGGGGCACCACGAGAGACCGACCACCTGGTGACCAGCTGGTACAGTCCAATTGTGCAGTGGCGCACTGTGACCCATGGCGTCCGCCATCCCAAATCAAAAATCCACCCAGTGGCAACAAGGTTTTAAAAAGATTTACAGTCATCACTAGTCTACTAAGTTCGTGGAGGAAAACCAGGAGCGGTATTATGAGCAGAGGAGCTATAGGGAATCAGTCAGCAGGCATAAGGAACAACTGTAGAGACTCATGTGTTCATATTCTGAGACCCTGGGTCAATAAAATGAGGGGGTCAGACAAGACTATGTCTCAAGCTCTTTCTTCATTTCTTTGTCTTTTGTAAATCATTTTATTGGGGCCTCATACAAACTTATCCCAATCCATACATACATCCATTGTGTCAAGCACATTTGTTGCCATCATCATTTTCAAAACATTTTCTTTCTACTTGATCCCTTGGTAGCAGCTTTCCACTTTCCCCCCCTCCCTCCCCTGTCCTCCCTCCCTCATGAACCCTTGATAATTTAGAAATTATTATTTTTTTCAGTCTTACACTGACCGATGTCTTCCTTCACCCACTTTTCTGTTGTATACCCCCCTGGGAGGAGGTTGTCTGTAGATTATTGTGATCGGTTCCCCCTTTCTCCCCCCACCTTTTCCTTACTCTCCTGGTATTGCTATTCTCATTATTGGTCCTGAGGGGTTTGTGTGTCCTGGATTCCCTGTGTTTCCAGCTCTTATCTGTACCCGTGTACATGCTCTGGTCCAGCCAGATTTGTAAGGTAGAATTGGGGTCATGATAGTGGAGGGGGGAGGAGGCATTAAAGAACTAGAGGAAAGGTGTATGTTTCATTGGTGCTATACTGCACCCTGACTGGTTTGTCTTCTCCCCGCCACCCTTCTGTAAGGGGACGTCCAATCGCCTACAGATGGGCTTTGGGTCTCCACTCCGTACTCCCCCTCATTCACAATGATGTGATTTTTTTGGTTCTGGGTCTTTGATACATCTCAGGACCTTTCATCAAGTTTTAAAAGCTTCGTGTACTTGCCCCAAGTGCCATTCTTAAGTCACAGTCTTACCGGCTTCCATTAGGTGGCAGCAAAGCACCGAGTACAATCTCTGGACCCCAGTGGCGCTGTGGGTCTAAGGGCACCGTGATGCAGTTCAGAGCTGGGAGGAACCCTGGGGACCCGCTGTTTCAACCGCCCTATCAGGAGGAAGCCGAGGGAAGACAGGAAGCAGCCAGCTCAAGAGTGTGTAGTTACTTAGTGGGAACTCTGGCTTCTTGATCTCAGATGAAGGCTTCTTCCTCTCTACTGTCTGCTTCCTTCCCGGAAGCCAGGTCTCTGGACCAAGTGGGGCATACATCCCCTCTGACACCTCCAAACCAAGCTCACTGCCAACGAGTTCATAACGACTCACAACAAACCGATACGGCAGGGAAGACCTGCCTCAATCACGTACTGCTATACGGAGCCCCTTACCTGCCCAGCTCCCATTTAGGCCGTGGTCCACCCTAGACTTTCTCGTTCTATCTCTGTTAATTTCTTCGTGTCATCAGATCCTCTGGTGCTGATGTTGACGGCTGGGCTGGTGTCCATTCATCTTCTTGTCTGAGTCAGCGCGCCTCAGGCTGCAGTGTGGACCGGAAGCCCATCCATCTCCTTGTAGGTTCTGTTTTGTCTCCTCTCCACGGCACTGGCACCTTCGTCAATGCCAAGGTCCTATTTGAATGGGTTCACCCATGAATTCATACTCTCCCTGGACTAACATTAGCCAGGACAGATGGGTGCCCCGCTGTCACACCCCGTGAACTGTCAGGAGGGTTCATTGCATCACAGAGTCAGCCGTGTCACCAGATTGCTTTCTTTCTAGCGTTTGGCTGGCTGCCATCTCATGTGAGGGCTCAGCAGGAGGGGGCCGTCAAGGCTGGGGTGGTGGCTGTGTTACTCGTGGTTAAGTGGGGGGTTGAGTTTCATACCTACTGAGGGCGTCTGTGTGCCCTGGGACTCACAGTTTGGTAGGGGAAGGGCTGCCTGGGCCATGGATGTATGTGGCTTTTGGTCAGTGGCTGAGTATCTGCAAGCCCTCACCCACCCCGCTTGAAGGCAAGTGGGGAGCATATGTTTTTCTGAGGTGAAGTGGGAAGATTCTGTTCTCTGGAATCTACCCCATGCATCATTTTGTGTCAGGTAATGTTTCTGGCTGACTTCTCTCCATTAGCCTTAGTACTGAGCCAGGGAGAACATGGAGGCCCCCCTGTCGGCATGGGTCAGTCTTTCCTACAGTAGCCACCAGGTGGCAGGTCTCGGGCTTACACTGGACCGGAAGAGGAATCAACACCAATGACATGACAGCCTTTGAGGACTCTGGTAGACAACCCTTCAGCCCTTCCCTGGTTCTCATCAAACTGCCATCTCCCCTAGTGGGCAGGTGCTAAGCTCGTTGTTCTCCAAGAACAGTAGTGGCAGGAGGTAAGACCCACCAGGAATGCAACCTGCATCTCCCCTGCTGCCCGCACGGCACTTCCATACTGCATTCACCACCAGACCTTTAGGGGTCTGGGACACCTTTTGAGGCTGGGCGGAAGTGGTATTGAAATAGTGGAGGTTTTCCATCATATCTCCAGCTCTCCCAACACCCCCCCCCCCCAACACTCCTAAACACACACACACACACACACACACACACACACACACACACACACACCCCTGTGGCTCAACCTAAGACCTCTCTCCTGGGAACTCAGGCTTATCTGGACTGTGGCTGGTTCATAATGGAGCTTCCTGTCCCACCTGTAACTCTAGAGCCAAAGTGGACAGGTCCTCTCTTGCAGGTGACCGGGGGCTGTTTTAGAACAAGCAGAGCATACCTTCTGGAGCGGGGACAGAGCAGATTCACATTTGGGGGTCAGAGTAGGCTCACCCAGTTCTTCCGAGTCCATAGAAGCCAGTGGTTCTTGGTTCTCATCTCCCCACCCCCTACCCCAGCCCCAATAGCCCAAAGAGTATAACAGGTTCACAGCAGTGGCCTCCAGCCATGGGCAAGCCCACATGGAAGGGGTTGTAGAGTGAGGAGGCGGGGGATGAGGAGGGGGCATGTGTGGCATGAGAAAGCCCCAGGCCTTGGTTTTGGGGTGCTGTTAAGCTGCTCCTGACTCAGGGCGACCTCCTGTGAGTCAGAGTCGACTGTGCTCCAGGGGTTCTCATCACCCGATAGTTCTGGAAGCAGATCACCAGGACTTTCTTCCGAGGTACCTCCAGGTGGACCTTAAGTTCTAACCTTTTGGTTAGCAGCTAAGAGCCACCTAGCTTCTCTGCCTAATTCCAACATTCATCTTTCACCCAAGTGTATTAAGTGCATATTAATTTTATAACATGTCTTCATTTTATTCAAATATAAACATAATTCATCTTCATTGAAGAACATTTGGAAAAATAATTAAAAAGTTTTAAAAAAGGCAATTCCTTACTTCCTTCTCTCAGCATGCCACTTGGAGGCAACTTCTGTATTTCCTTTTCATTTTTTTCAAATTATTGTTACCTTTCTATCTAGCTAATGTGTTTCATGGCTGGAACCATAGGTATATACAGTTTCCTTCTTTGTTTGACAAATGAGCAGCACGCATATTTCCCAAGGGCCACTCTAAGACTCCATCAGAGTCAGTCCTTTTATGGATTGAGTCATTGTCTTGTTGTTGGACTCTTGATGGTTTGTATTTGTCTGCAGTGATAAATAGTGCTCCATTAATCCTTATTCAGAGCTCTAAGAATTTCCTTTGGATAAATCCTCCAAGTGGATTTAGTGTGTATAAGGATATGTGCAAAGACCCCTGGTGGCACAACAGTTAAGTGCTGGACTGCTAATTGAGAGGTTGGCAGTTTGAAGCCACTCGCTGGTTCTACAGAAGAAACACCCAGTGACCTGATGCTGTAAAGATTGCAGTCTAGACAACCCTCTGTGGCTCTTCTCCTCTGTCTCATAGGAGCCCTGGTGGCATAGTGGTTACATAGGGGGCTGCTCAGTGCAAGGTCAGGGGTTCAAAACCACCAGCTGCTCCTCAGGACACAAAGAAGGGTTTCTCCTTCCATGAAGAGTTGCAGTTAGTCTCCAAACCCAGAGGGCAGTTTTTCTCCGTCCTATAAGGTCACTATGAACGGGCATCAACTCGACGATAGTGAACTTGGTTAGAGTCTGAGACGCAGTCTCATGGGTCACCACGAGCTAGACCTGATTCAGGCACACGAGAACACCAAGAAGCTCTGACACACATGTTACTGAAGCGTCTTCACAAAGGTGTGCCAGGGCCCACTCCTCCATCAGAACGTCTGTAGCTGGGAGACCGCGGTCACCAAGCACCAGCAGGCAGAGGCGCCCTGTCCCATACTGGCCTGTGGTCCTGGGGCTGCCCTCTCACTGTGCGCAGGCCCTTCTGGGCCTTAGATCAGTCACTATGACTCCCATGGCTTTTCTGTTCTTTTCCTTCAGGTCCGGCATGAAAACAGATGCGTGGCCCTGGAAAGGTGTCCCTGTTTCCATCAGGGCAAAGAGTACGCCCCCGGGGAAGTGGTCAAGATTGACTGCAACACTTGGTGAGGCTCTGGGATGGGGGCATTGCAGGGGGGCGAGGGTGGGGGTGGAGGAGTTGGGCATGGGGAGTAGAGGGGAGTATAGCCATTGGTGGGAAAGTGAGGGGAAACAGTTGTGACCACAGGCCGTTGGCACTGGCCTCTAGCGCGCTGTGGGATTCTTCTCTGTGCCTGTTTCTCTGTCTGTAAAATGAGGCAGCACTGTCACGACGCCCTGCCTGGAAACTCTCCTAGCGATCCGTATTTTCACATAACGCGAAGGTCTGGTCCCCGCATTAGTTATTGTCTCATGGTACCAATCTGGCAAATGTTTCTTCTGCTGCCTCAGAAGCTTTCTTATGTCATGGCCCTGCTTGATGCTCACCCTCATGAAGAGATCACTGAAGATATGGGTGCTGTAACAAAGTGTGGTGAAGAAACCAGATGGTACCTGGCTATCAGAAAGAATAGCTTCTGGGGCCTTAAAGGCTTGTCTTTGAACAAGCATCCATCTAAGTGAGGCGCCAACTAAGTCCACATGGAGGAAGCACACCAGCCTGTGTGATGCAAGGAGCGCAAATAGTAAAATCCAAATCTGAAGGAGGGAGTAGGATCAGAGCTTAAAATCTGAACCCGTTTTCAGAAGGCTGTGGATGACAGTGGAAGCCTAAAGATCCGTTTGTAGGGTCCACACATGAATGAAGTCTCTGGTGAATCCCCTCCAACCATATTGAGGGTTGTGAACAGCCTTGTTACCAGACAGCATCGTAAAGCCGATTATGACAGGTGTAATTAGGTTAACATGTATTATCTTATTATTTGATCTCCCTTTTGGCCCATTTTAAAGTTGTTTGTTTTTAAAAAGTGGCTGGGAAATACATGTGGATTAAGCCTGTGGGGGAATCCCCTCTGATCATAGACCAGGGATGGTGAATAGCCTTGCTGTCAGGCAGAGGGCCTTGGAAAGTGGATTGCTACAGATGCAGTTAGGCTAACATTTAACACCTTATCATCTGATCTCCCTTGACCCATTTTATGGGGGCCTCACAGGGGAAGTTGGGTGGGAGGGGGATGGGGAGCTGATAACAATGAGTACAAGGAAGACTAATTGTTCTAAGATTGATTTCAGTGATGATTGTACAACTCTTCTTACTATGATCAAACTACTGAATTGAAAGGTAGGTGAATTATATGCCAATACCTCCCTGTTAGTTAAAAAAGAGAAAAGCTCACCAAAGGGCAGAGTCAGCCGCGGGCAAGGTTGGGTGGGTTAGGGCAGACGCAGCAGAGCAAGAAGCCCAAGGAGGGAGGGAGGGAGGTACTTCACGGCACACCGAGGAGACCGCGGTGGAGGAGCTGGATCAGAATGTGTGCACATCGTTGGATGTAATTCATAATAAATCGTCTTGAACAAGTTTTCAAAGGGGAAATAAAAGCGTATTCAAAGAGCCCTTGTCATGGCGGCTTAGGCAGGGACCTCCTTAAGGGTAGTTAGCGTTCTTTTCTTTTTTCTCCCTCACTCCATCAGCCGCCCTGCCTTTGACCGCTGGGCCATTCCTGCTTCCATGAGAGGCCTGTGTGGACAGTCAGGAAGGGATGGGGCCCCCGAAGGGATGTAACTGTCTTTGGGGCCTGAGGTCTGAACTTACCACCTCTGACGCACAGAGTGGGTGTCCTGATGTCAGCTCTGGTTACAGGGTGGCGTGCGCGGCAGTTGGCAAATCACCATAGATTTAAGCATGCAGCTGTGTACACCCAAAACCTCTCCCTGCACAGGGTCATGGCCCATTATGTTCTCCCTGCCCGCCCCTCTTGGTTTTCCTCATTAGTCTCAGATGGATTGCAACCTCCTGGAGACCCGGAGGCCACACCAACTTTAGAACATCTATGGCTAAGTGGTCCAATAAGAATGCTGCTTCCTCTCTGGCTGCCTTCTTCCCACCTCCGTGCCTCAGTTTCCCTTTGGTGACTTCTCTCGCTCCTTTTGGTCCGGGCTCTGAAATGCATACATGACACCAGCAAGCCCTCCATGAGCTCATGCTGCCAGGCTCCAAGGCCATCTTCCTCCGGGGGGAGCCCCCTGGAGGGCTGGGGAGCCCCCTGGAGTAGACATTCTCCATCCTCTCCTCCCCAATGCTTGTGAGTGCCTCGTGCAGGCCGCCTAATGGGCCATCTTCCCCATTACTGTACCTAGTGTCTGCCGGGACCGGAAGTGGAACTGCACGGACCACGTATGTGACGCTACGTGCTCTGTCATGGGCATGGCCCACTACCTCACCTTTGACGGGCTCAAGTACATGTTCCCGGGGCAGTGCCAGTATGTCCTGCTGCAGGTGAGGTGTGGGCAGGGGGGCTGGTGCTGTTTGTCCTTGGGAGGAGGTGGAAGGTCCCTGCGATGGGGATTCTGGAGCGCGGGGGCAGGGGTCCACATCAAGTTCTGTCCATAGAGACTCTGGGGGCCGGTTTCTACTGGAGCAGCTTGCCAGTTCCTGGAAGAAGTTCATGAAGAGGCAGTGGGCCCGAGACGCCAGTGTGGGCTCCTTTCCCTCCTATCACCGCTCCCCCCAGACTTGTAGGAATGATAAGAGTGCCTTTCTGCACCCTTTTCATTTCTACAGCAACAGGCTTCAGAACTGGGAGGCGGCAGGGCGCTGGGGTCACAGACAAGTCACTGCCTGGCGACAGGGGAAAGGGCCAGGCGATCCTGGCCTCCCCCTGCCCAGAGCATGGATTCCTGTAAATTTCTCTCTCTGGGCGATGCCAATTGGGTAACTGAGGAGGTTGGAGTTCTTTTCTCACCAGGGGAGAGAGCTCTGCTCCGAAGCTTTAAACAAATGTGGTCTCCCAGCTCCATTCCCGAGAGGAGGAAGGGATTTGCTGTGGTCTGAAGAAGGGACCACAAGCTTTGGGGCCTCTGCCCCAGAGGATGTGTTGTGGACCCCATGAGTCAGTGGCCCTGTTGTCTGGGTGCTCCACATGCAGACTGTGCTAGCCCTGGGACAAGAGCAACAGCAGACCCACGGCCTGGCCCAGGGTGCTGGGCAGACCCAGTGACCTTGGGGAATTTGTTCTCCAAAGCACTCCCCAGGTGATACGTGCAAACCCTTCTTTTGGTGGACTTCGGTTCACGTCCTCAGTAGCAAAAAGAGGTGACAGCAGTTTGGGGCTCAACTACTGAGCCAGTTTCAAATCAGGGCATCAGGAAAAAGAACCAGTTCAGTGCAAGTAGAAACAGCTGGTCAGTATCTACCGCCTCCCACTGTTCTCCTGCAGGGCAGAGCTCCCTCAGTCCTTTCCAAGAGCCCCCTGTCCTCGGGCGCCCCTTGCACATTGCCACGAGTCCCAGGGTGGCTCCAGTGATAAAGCACTTGGGTTACGAAGCGAAAGGTTGGTGCTTTGACTCCCACTGGAGGCTCCTTGGAAGAGAGGACCGGTGTCTAAAGGTCACAGCCATGGGAATTCTGCAGACTAAAATGAACTATGTACTAGGGCCCTTGCAACGGTTCATGGAAAACAGACCAAAAAATGATGGCCTTTCCCCATGAACCCTGGCTCCTCCTTGTGTGTGTGTGTCTGCACCCTACTCGGCCTCATAGTGCTGCTTGAGTCTCACTGGACTCACTGGCACTGTCTTGTATGTGTCCATCTGGAAAGGCCAACGGGCCCCAAGAGTGGTTCTATCACACCTGGGCGCCCCTGGGTCGGAAGTGACTTGGTGGCCCCTGGTGCTTGCTTGCTTCCCTTGAGGCCAGCTCTGTCGTCCCCTTCCGACCCTCTGCCCTGCCTTTCTCTTTCTCTTCTCCTTTCCTCCTTTGGATTCAGCTCTATCTCAGCTGGTGACCCGAGCACGTTGGCAGTTGGCTTGTACATTTGTTTCTTCTTTTAACCTTTATGACAATCCCATTAGCCTGGTGGGTCCTCATCAGTGCAGGGGCAGATGGAGTACATGTGGATGTGCGTGTGCGTGTGCGTGTGCG